CCTTCCTTCCTTCCTTCCTTCCTTCCTTCCTTCCTTCCTTCCTTCCTCTTCCCTCCCTCCCTCCCTCCCTCCCTCCCTCCCTCTCTCTTTCTTTCTTTCGGTTTTTCGAGACAGGGTTTTCTCAGTAACAGTTCTGGCTGTCCTGGAACTCGCTTCATACAACAGACTGGCCTCAAACTCGCAGAGATCTGCCTGCCTCTGCCTCCTGAGTGCTGGGATTAAAGGCGTGCGCCACCACTGCCTGGTTTCATCTCCCCTTTCTTTTATTTTTACATTACCTTGATTCATGGGCGATATAACATAGCAGGCTTTGCAAGCCAGGAAGCAGCACTCTTCCAAAGTCTGCACCAGCTTCTGCCTCCAGGTTCCTGCTCTGCCATGCGTTCCTGCCCTGACTTCCTTTGATACTAGGCAGTGACTCGGAAGTGTAAACCTATAAAAACTTCCTTTCCCCGAGTAGCCTCTGGTCGTGCAGATCTGGCATACACTTAGGGACACTCAGAATTTGAGAGATGGCCATCTCAGACTTTACCTAGAATTTTGTGACCCAAAGCTAAATTTCAGCACAGGTGCAGTCTTGTGTTGCCTGGCTAGTGTTAGGAACTTTATTTGGAAGATTTTTTTTTGGGGGGGGGTCAAAGCCTCAAGCAGATCTTTGGTTTCCAAGGATAAAAGGACCAAGAGATGTGAGCTGCCAGACTATGGAGAGGAAATGTTAGTTTTTATTTCCCCCTGCTGTTGGGATCAAAAATACCCTGACAAGAACACTTTAAGGGAGAATGGGTTTATGTGGCTCGCAGCTCCAGGGTACTACAGTCTGCCATGATTGGGGTGTCAGGGCCACGGGAGCACGAGGCAGCTGGCGACACTGCATCTGCAACCAGGACACAGAGGGAGTTGGACCCTCGCGATGGATCGCAAGCTCTCTCCTTTTGATGCAGTCTAAGCCCCAAGCCCAGGCACCAACCGTTCACTTCTGAGTAAGGTATTGAGGACACTCACTCCCAGGCATGCCCAGAACCTTGTCTTCCAGGCGATTCTAGACCCTGTCAAGCCGTCAATCACTATTAACCCCCACAACGAGAGCGCTCTTTAGGAGGGAGGAAAGGGAAGAAGGGCCGGGCACAGGCTGGCGGGAAGCCTCGCGTCGCCCTGACACCTGTTGCCATGGCTGGGTAGCGGTTTCCTGTGCTTGTGGACACGTGAGCAGAGAGAACACAATGGGTTTGCCTTGGCAGGAAGAGGCTTCCTGTTTTGCTGCGAGGGCTCATTGTTGGACATTGAGAGGAGGAGCCGTGTGTCTGTGTTTTTGAAGTTGCTAAGGTCCCTGAGGAGAGGGAAGGCGACAGGTGTGGAGGGGTCTGAAGATGACGAACAGGAAAACAGGGGTGGGGGTCTATTCTTTCGGAGTTACTCATCCAAACCTCACACCATTTAGGAGAGGGCCAGTTTGGCTATGCTGCCCTGTTGTCACGACAACGCCAAGCAACAGCCTTGGGGCTCACCTGAGGGTCCATCTCAAGGCCTTCTCAGCCTCTGGTAAGAGTCAGTGTTGACTTCTGAGGTGACCTTTATTTAAGAGAGGTGGCAAGCCCCTTAGCTGGGAAGTTTGAACTGAAACTCTGGTGAGAACAAACGGAGGAAATGATAGGATTCGTCTGGTGGCAAAGGGATGAGTCAGAAAGCCAAAGTGTGTACTCCGAGTCCTGCATGCCCGTTTGCACATTAACAACTGATCTAGACACCCTGAGTGCCCTGATGCTTGTGTAGGCTTGGAGCTGTCTGCTGTAGAGAAGAGACTTGGGGTCAACTGGCTCAGCCAGCTCTCTGTGGGTCCTTTCCTCTAACTTCCTCACCTGGGGATTGGAGTGGGGAATGTCGGCTGTCTGTCCTGACTTGGTCTTACCTTTGGGGACCCCCGCCGATCATCTCTTGGACACCTGTGGCCTCAGGAGGCCGGTGATGCACTGAGGAAATCTCAGCAGAGCTTCGATTAAGAAGAAAAGATGCCGGGGTCCTGCCCATCCTCCGTTCCTTGCCCTGTGGTAGCTGAAGGAGTCAGCATCTGCCTCCTCCTGTGACCATGTATGGCATCGTCCCAGGCCCCGCTCAGCCCCGCTCAGCCCCGCTCAGCCCCTCCCAGCTTGAACATATTTGATCCGTCTTTCCCGACTTCCCACCTGCATCTGCCTGCGCCTTGACTCTTTCAGGGCAAAGCACCGGATACTTTCATCTTTCTGGAATTTTTCCACACACTTTTCTCTCAGGTTCCTCCTCCCTCTGTCACATTCACATTTTTTAAAATTTAATTAATTTATTTGTATGTGCATTGATGTTTTGCCTGCATGTATGTTTGGGTGAGGGTGTCAGATCTTGGAGTTACAGGCAGCTGTGGGCTGCCATGTTGGTGCTGGGAGTTGAACCTGGATCTCCTGGGTCCTCTAGAAAAGCAGCAAGTGCCCCTTAACCACTGAGCCATCTCTCCAGCCCTCCCCATCCCTGTCAGGTTTTAACTTGTCATTCATTCAAGATCCAGCTTAAGCGGCTGGAGAGACAGCTCAGCAGTTTAAGAGCGCTTGCCGTTCTTGCAGAGGACCTTGGTTTGGTTCCCAGCACCCATGGGGCAGCCAACAGCTGTCTGTAATTCCAGTGCCAGGGCATCTGATGATGCCCTCTTCTGTTTCCCACAGGTACCAGGTGTGCTCATGGTGCACATGCATGAAGACAAAATACTCATAGACATATTTTTAAAAGATCCAGCTCAAAAGAGCTCCCAATTCCATGAAGAATTTCCAGTGGCCTCACACCCGCAGAATGCATTGTGTTACCAGGGTGTCTAAGCATCTTTCCTCCTCTCTAATGGGTACCCCATCTATTCCTTAACACAACAGGTAGCGTATTCTTTGTGCTCAACCAAAAGGCACATGGGGTCAAACTGAAACAGATTTCTATGGATTTGACCTCAGATAGGTGCCACTTACATTTCATGCAAGACTAGGAAGGAAGCAGGCCGAGGAGGGAACTCAGGGAAGCAGATTTCCATGGCCCCTACTTCCAAAGGTCAGCATCAGTTTCGGCTAATGAGCAAAGTTCACAGCTCGCACTCTGAGAAATGGTTCAGGCTTGGACAAGGGAGCACAGCCTGACCTTCAGGGAGCTTCCAGGCAGAGAGGCAGATCACCATTTCTGGGATCTGAGAGACTGAGCAGGGATGGGAGCCAGCACTTACTCAGTACCTATGGCAGTACTTACTCTCAGTACCTGTGGCAGTACTTACTCTCAGTACCTATGGCAGTACTTACTCTCAGTACCTATGGCAGTACTTACTCTCAGTACCTATGGCAGTACTTACTCTCAGTACCTAAGGCAGTACTTACTCTCAGTACCTATGGCAGTACTTACTCTCAGTACCTAAGGCAGTACTTACTCTCAGTACCTATGGTCGGCCAGACCCCAGAACACGTCATTTCATCTCACAACAGTTCTGTGAAGTCAGTGTTGTGATGTCCACTCTAGAGATGAGGAAATACAGAGTCGGAGAAGTTAAGGACTTTCCCAGAAGAGACTCACAGGCTGAGAATGGAACTCCCCATCCAGGTCTTCCCCTGACACCATTGTTAAACAAGGAACTCAGTTTCACAACTACTGATGACGGCTCCAAAGCCAAACACTTCTGCTGTCTAATGCCAGTACCAGTAAAGAAAGGAAAGCTCCGTGCAACGCTGGTGTCCATACCTGTGGTTCCCATTTCTTAAGCACAATCTGCATATGTGCTTCTGATTGGCAGAGTGTGGGTCTCGGGCCTGTATCTGGGCTGTGAGGTTAGGAGTTCTTGACTTCTTGGTGGGGCGGAAGAATAACAAGGGAATTCCCTCCAGAAAGGGAGGCTGACTAGTGAGATGCTGAAAGGCCACTGACCCAGGAGATGGCTGCCACACGGCCCCTCCCTAAATGTCACGTCAGAGGAACTTAATTTATAAGCCTTAATATGCTCCCTTTTGAAATTCCCACAACTTTCTTAAAATGTGGTTTGGAACAAAACAAGCAAACAAGCAGTCATGACATAATTTTAAAGTATAATTTACATAGAGCAAACTTCAGGTATATAGTTCTAGGGCCTCTGTCTCGCTCTATCCCCTGCCCCCATACTGATAATTATCTAGACACTACCAGAAGCAAGATGAAGTTAAGTAATAGCTTGCTTTCCTTGCCCTCCCCAGATCCCTTGAATTCCCTCTGTAGTCTCCATCTTCCTCCATGCTCAGCCTCTGAGAACCACCCATCTGTTTTTCTGCCTAAAGATTCTGGAACAAAGTCTTTCAGAGCAGAGAAGAGGAACAGCCGAAGGGATTCTCTGTGTAAACACTAGTGTATGGGATTGAAGCCTCTTCCTACTTGGCCTCATCTTAGAGGTGGGGAAAAACCAGTTCGAGAAATGGATTGAATTGATCAGAGGTGTAATCTCTGCAAGTCTGGAGGCACAGGCCTCCACTTTGGAAAGCTGAGGCAGGGGGATCTCAGGTACAAGGATTGCCAGAACTACCGAGTGAGTTTCAAGCTGACTTGGTCAATTTAGTGAGACCCCCTTCTCAGAGTAAAAGCTATGAAGGAATTTGGAATTATGGTTCAGAGGTGGAGCACTTGTCTATAGTGCACTAGGCCTTGAGTTCAACCTCCAGTACTGAGAAAAGATGGATATAATTTCCTTTCAAATATTAGGTTTAAGACTTAACATGGACATCTGCTGGGCTCCAGCTCATGGTGTGAATTCTCTTTTAAAGGCACAGGCGGAGAGAATGGGCCGTGGACGCTCCACTGGGCTCAGGTTTGGTAGAGGGACCCACACCTTTGAGGCCAGCTCTTGTTTCCTCCAGACTGCCCTCCTTTCTGACAGATAGAGCCCGGGCCCATGGTCTGTGTCTTCCTGCTAGGTCCCACCACACCCCAACCCCAATTCTTCACTCAAATTGCCCTGAGCCCTTTTCAGGCCTCCATGGGAGACAGCACAGCTGTGGTGGACACTCTAGACTAAGCTGTGGCCTGAGGTTGCTGTTCAAGAAAGCCATTCACAAAGCTGAGGTGTGCAGGCTGCTGGTAGAAAGAGGGACTGTCTGTCTGTCTATCTGTCTATTATCATCGGTTGTCTATCTACCTACCTCCAAGGAGTGTTAATATTCTAAATTTAGGAGTCAGAGAGATGGCTCAGTGATTAAGTCTCCTTGTTGCTTTTGCAGAGGACCTGGCTTCAGTTCCCAGCACCCACATGGCAACTCACAGCTCCCCATAACTCTAGTTCTAGAGGATCTGATGACGTCTCCTGATCTCCCAGGCTCTAGGCACACATGTGGTGCGCATACATACATGCAAGTTAAACACTCATGCACATAAGATGAAAGTAAATCTAGTTTTTAAAGTTTGAATGTATACGTGGCTCCCCAGATAATCATAAACAAAGATTTCTACAACTTTAGTATTTTGTATTTTCAAATGCGGTAGAACCCCTTTTATTGCAAGAGTCAATTAGATTGACAGATAAGGTGACTATGGGAGGCAAGCATATGAAGGTCTGTTTGTGCTCTGCCTTGGGCCCTACAATGTTTCAGGCAGGTCTGGATGAACATGAGCTAGTATTCTCTGAGAGATGTAGCAAAGTCCCCTTCGGTTCAGCCCGCCTTTGCAGGCTGAGACCACACTCCCAGGCAGCGGGGAGGGGAAGACACTTTTAGGTTTCTTGAACCTGACCTGGGCCTTTTCTTTTGTATCGTCTTTGATGGTTAAATTTCACTGTCAGCTCTACAATCACCTAAGAGGCTGGTGGGAAACACCTCTGGGTGTGTCAGTGAGGATGGTTCTAGAGAGGATGAGCAGAGAGAGGAAGACCCACCCTGACTGTGAGCATCACTTACAAGCTGGGGTTTCTCCCCACAGCTGAAGGGGGCTGGCATTGTTCTGCTTCCCTGTCAGCCATGAAGCACATAGCCTCTCCTCTGCCACCTGCTCCCGTCACCATGATATTCTGCTTAGGTGCGTGGAGCTGAATGACCTTGAACTGAATCCTCCAAAACCGTGGGTCAAAGGAGGTGTTTGAACCAGGTATATTGTCACAGCGCATGAGGACTAATACCTCATGTCGTTTGGGTCTTTCACCACCCTGCCAGGTGGGTAGCTTGTTGCCAACTGGTAGTTGAGGCAGCAGCGACTTAGTGATGCTGAGTTCCTTCATTGGAGCAGCCAGGGTCACAAATGAGCCCTGCGTAGCTAGCTGCAAGGCCAGTGGGCTTCTCCGTCTTACTTCATCCCCTTTCCTAACATGATTTCTAGGGGAAAGGAACCGGTCACTTGTGTGTGGGGGATTAAACCAAACCTTAGAATTCCAGAGCCTTCTGTGATTGGCCCTGTTTTTATTTCAAAGAAGAAAAAGGCAAAGTACAAGAGATGGTTAGCTGGGGCAGAGATACTGGAAACACACTTTGGGAGAAGGTATAGATGAATTCAGGGGTGCTTCAGTGAGTTAGGTATAGGAGACAGAGAGGAGTAGAGGGTGAGTAGGGGTGGGTGCTCAGCTAACTGCCCCCCGTTTTAGTGTGTGTGTGTGTGTGTGCGCGCACGTGTTGGTGCATCCATGCTTACACGCCACAGCTCAGATGTGGAGATGAGAGGATGTTTTCAGGAGTCAGGTCTCTCCTACTATGTGGTTCCTAGGAATTGAACTCAGATCATCAGGTTTGGTGCCAATTGCCTTTACCCATGGAGCCATCTCATCAGCCCGACTGTGGCTTTTGGGTCAGGGCTGGTTTAATCTGAGTCTCCACACTTAGGAATTGACTTTGACCAAGCCACAAACTGCACAGAACTTCAGTTTCTGTGAGAGTGTAGCCCATACTAAGACGCCATCTTAGAAACCCGTAGGGATGAAATGAAGTTCCCATGAGGGGATCCCTGACCTGCAGCAGGCTGTGTACAATATTCATCTTCTCCCTGCTTCTTATTCTCCTTGACTGGTTCACACAAGTTCATTTGGGCACTCTGTAGCAACAGCTGAGAAGTCCAAAAATAAACTTGAATTAAAATTAAGATAGGTTCAGAGCTGAGGTCCCTTGCAGGCACCTCTGTGTGAATAGCAGAAGTGAAACAAAAAAGAAAAAAAAATAAAGAAGAAAGACAAAGCAATTTCATTTCTAGTATTAGAAGTAAAGATCCCCAATCCTGTAGGCCAGCCATGGTTGAGGGAGCAGGTATGGCAAGAGGAAGATTTGGTATTTTAGTTGTTTTTGTTTTTGTTCTGTGATGATGTTAGGGGGGACTCTCCAGGGACATCATGCGTCACAGAGCGAGGAAGAGGGGGTGGTGAAGGCAGGCATGGGCAGGTCGGAGAATGTCATGCTGTCATTGATGTCATATGGAAGAACCGAGGAGAGAGAGTAGAGGTCAAGTCATGGAAAGGGTCGGGTGACTGTCATGCCCTTCTCACCTCCTGCTCCGGGGACACAGATGGCCGAGTTCCTTAATTCACCTTTCGACGAGTTTCTGAAGAAAGGTCAGCTTCGAGGACTTGACTGGCTCCCGAAGAGCAGGACTGCAGAGGCTCCCCATCAAGGTGTGTGTGTTTGGGAACTTGAAGACCCGCAGAAGCAGAAGCCGAGGGCTGACTCCCACAGGCCATGGGCTGATGACAGGCTGTTATTGCTGCCACTATCAAGGTCTTTGCTCCTTCTCCGACTCTCATTTTTCGCTCTATGCTTTGCAGGCTCAGCAAGATGAAGGACTTTTTCCAAGGGTCTCTGTTGCAGGGCCTTCCATTGGCTGTTTTCTTTATGCAGGGCTGGGACTACCCAGCAAAGCGGGCTCAGAATCGGAGGCCTGGGGAATCTAGGTCTCCCTAGCTTTTACCCTATCTCTGATTTCTACAACTGTTTTAATTATCTATCAAGTGGGCATAATGACATGACAAGTCAATATTTCTTTTAAGGAGGCATGGTTAATACAAAAGACACTCGACTCATCAATACTATGCTATGCTTAGCATCTTGGTATGGCAGTTTCTAAAGATGGCTTTATGTAGGCCGTGACCAAGGTATTTATGTCCCATTACGAAAGATCATAGAAGGGATTCGTGTGACAGGAAGGGCATGTTAGACAGACCCAAAGAAACGCTCCCACCAAATGGAGTTGAGTGTGGAAGCCACTGGAGGTGAGAAGTGATGCCCTTCCCATCCCACTGCCCCTCTGGCCCCTTCTCAGTGTCTATACTTACCTTCTGAAGCCAGTTCGGGTGTCGCCGTAGCAGGCTTTCTAGCGTGTCCAGGGAGAACCATGGGCTTCTCCGCCATGCTACTCTGTGTAAAAACACTTGTGGTATTTTTAGCTAGCGTCCAAGTTGACCCTTGACCTGAAGTCAAGGATTTCATTCTCTCCTGGCCTGAGTTCTTCATGGCCGAGATGTGTTTCATTCACCTGAGTTGCCAGTACCTAAGGATGTACCTGGCCACTTGGATATGCTATGTTAGCTATTGCTTCCTTAAGAACATTCTTCTTCAAATCTTGTTACCTTTGAAAAATTCAGTTTTCTCATCAGGCGGTGGTGACCCATGCCTTTACTCCCAGCACTCTGGAGGCAGAGGCAGGTAGATCTCTGTGAGTTCAAGGCCAGTCTGGTCTACAGAGTGAGTTCCAGGACAGCCAAGGCTACACAGAGAAACCCTGTCTTGAAAAACAAAGACAAACCAACAAAACTATGAACAGGTTCAAATTTTCTGGAGTGACTTAGTAAATATTCAGAAATCTTAACATTTTGTATTGTTTTGGTCTAATTCTTTTCCTTTCTCCCAAGGGGTGAGTGGATGATTTTTGATAAAGATATTGATATTATTATATTCATAGCAATTATTTTTAAAAATGAGACCAAAGTTGAGGTAATATTATTGCAGACTTTGATGAATAAATTATGTTTCCTATACATCATAGAACACCCTGCAGCCATTGTAATTGATGGTGAAAGAATATATTGTTTTGTTTCTTTGAGACAGGGTCTCTCTGTGTAGCCCTGGCTGTCCTGGAACTGGCTCTGTAGACCAGGCTGGCCTCAAATTCAAGAGATCCTCCTGCCTCTGCCTCCTGAGTGCTGGGGTTAAAGGCGTGTGTCATCACCACCTAGCTGGTGGAAGAATATTTGTTAATCAAATGAGAATGACAAAACCAGCCACAGGATAGACAGTGTACAAGCTGGAGAGATGGCTCCGTGGTTAAGAGCAATCGCTGCTTTGGAGAAGAACATGGGTTTGGTTCTAAACTCACAACTGCCATAACTCCAGCTCCGGTGAGGTCTGACGTCCTCTTCTGACATCTGAAGGCAATAGTACACAGACCCTGCCTCCCTACAGACACACACAAATAAAAATAAAGATAATTTTTTAAAAAAAAAAAACATAAAAATTCAGTTCCTTAGTCATATTGGCTACCTTTTGATCATTCAGGACTTATACATGGTTAGTGGCTACAGTACCGGATGGAGGAATTAGAGACCAGTCCCTCAATTTTTCAGGAAGGGAGAGAAACCAGAAAGGCTCCTTACAGGTGGATCTCTCCTCCTCACAGCCCCGAGGTTCATTCATGCCTATTCTTGCCCGCAGAACAGACCTGCACGACCATCCAGTGTTAGAACGACTGTGTGCCTAGAAAGCCCTTTCTGCCTCCTTGTGCCTACCAGCTGCCTCGAACACGAGGATGTTTATACTGAATGTTTCATTTCAAGGATGCAACAGGTTCAACCCCTCTGATCTGTTCCGCCTGTCTAGCCACCAGGCAAGCTGTTTACATGGAATCCAAGTGCTGCTCCGCCAGGGGCGGACCGCGTTTTTCCACAGCTGCTGAGAAAGAAGAGCGAGTCGAGGCAGAATAACAAAAAGCCACTTCAAAAACACACCAGAAGAAGTCTCGAAGCTGAGACAATCACAGGTTTGAAACATCCCCTCCTCCCAAAGCTCTGACAAGAGAGTAAAAACAAGTCACAAGGGAGCCTGGGCCCTGCTGGTTTCGAGCTCCCCGTGGTTGCTGACTTGAGAACGGGGCCTGTCCCTGTACTTCTGAGAGGAGCCAGGACTTGAGATGGTGGGGGCTCAGAAACCTCACCTGAGTTCTGAGAATGGTGGGGGACAGTCCCTAGGTTCTCAGTGTCTCTGGGAAAATGAGTGGGGAGACTGTGGGAAGGGCAGGGCCAGGATGGATGGGCACAGGTGTGGGGCTCCTCCTGTCCAGAGAGCAGTTATAGTGAGCAGCGGAGCCCTGTCTCGCCTCCCGCTTCTGAGGAACCGATTGCCCCAGATGGTGAGGCATCCACAGATTAGCATGTCAGGGGAGTCAAGGGGCATAAGTCTCTTGTGTCCACAAAATTCTTCCCCTGCGACCTAATGCCTCTCTCTTCAGCCCCATTCTCCTCTGTCGGGCAATAGTTCTCAATGAGCAGGAACCTGGAGTTGGAGGTTTTGGCTCAAGTTGCTGTGAGAACGTAGTTTACTTACATAACATTCTACTAAATGGACTACATCCCTGGTGAAATGAAGGAGAGTACTGGGAGAGGCTAAGCTCTGTGCTTCGTTTTGTTTGGTTTGAGATGTATAGCTCAGGCTAACCTCCAGCCCACTGCTTAGTGGAGAATGGCCTTGACTCTGCGCCTCCCAGGTGTTGGGGTTACAGGTCTGCTCAATTAGTTTGGGTTTTGCTTTCCAGTTTTCCTTTTTCTTTGTTCCTTGTTTGGAAACAGTGTTTCAAGGGTGGAGTCCAGATGGGCTTCCAGTCTCAGCTCCTGAAGGGCTGAGCTTACAGCCACGCACGACCATGCTTTCTTAGACCTTTTTGCTTCTCGCCCTGCACAGTGCCACCTCCGTTTAGAAGGTGCACGCTCAAGCCTGGCGGCATGTTGAAATCACCTGGGCGGTTCAACGATCACCAATCAATCAACCCCATAGATCGGTGTGATTCTCAGTGGCCTGGGACTTCCCCTGGCCAACAGTAGTTTTTAAAGCTCTTCAAATGATTCTAATGTCCAGACAAGGACTGTGATCCTCCCAGAACGTCTCAAAGTCTGGTGTGTGCTGGGATCTTCGAGACCCCAGCTGGTCTGGTATAGCCTTCTGACGGCCCCGTAGTTCTACCAAACCCACAGGTGATGCCCATGGACCACACCTGGATTCATAGCTGTCTGTATTTATGTTCCTCACTGGAACTGAACCAGGAAGCTGGGCCCTAGGCTCCCCAAACTCAACCTGAGTAACTGTGGGTTCCCTCCAGTAATACTGTGTTTGTAAGTTTTTGCCTTCCCTTTTTCCTTTCTCACAGGTGTCTTGTCCGTCACTTGAATTCTCATTAGATGCTGTGGGCCTGAATCGGGTAGCTAACCCCAAGAACAAAAAATGAAAGATAAAGCCAGGCTGTGCTGTGCCCTCAGGTAACGAAGAAGCCCTTCTAAACCGAGAGAGCCAAAAAGATTCACAGAGCATAGAAGAAAAGTTAACAAGTGCTGGTCACCCCTCTCCTCCCATCCTGTCCCTTGGCAAATGTTGATAATGTCCCCAAGCTTGCATGTGGGGAAAACCAAAGTTTAGAATTAGAGACTTTTCCAAAGACGACGTGTATTGCTGGGCCTGCTCTCAGTTGGGCATGGTGGTGCACACGTGTAACCCAAACACTTGGGAGGTGGAGGTGGTGCACACGTGCAACCCCAGCACTTGGGAGGTGGAGGCGGGAGAATCAAGAGTTCAAGATTATCCTTAACTGCAAAGTAAGTTCAAGGCCAACTTGAGCTACGTGAGACTGTCCAATAAAACAAGACAAAACACAAAGAGCAAGCACAGCCAAACAGTACAAACACAAACAGCTGGTTTCTTGTGCTGACCGTGTAGGACTGGGTAGTATTTGAGCCTCATGCCTGGCCATACTGGGCCAGACCCAACCAGACCCTGCCTTTTAGAACGTATCAAGTCAGACCCATCTTTTAGAATTCAGTGGTGGCAAACCTTTAATCTCAGCACTTAGAAGGCAGAGGCAGGTGGATCTCTGAGTTCAAAGCCAGCCTGGTCTACAGAGTGAGTTCCAGGACAGCCAGAGCTATCACAGAGAAACCCTGAAAAAAAAAAAAAAAAGAAAGAAACCAAGTTTTGTTGGGCTGGGCTGGGCTGCATCCTGTAGGCATCATTTAGGCCGTCTTTCTGTCCCTCCACCACCTCGCCAGAAGAGGGACAGTTTCTTCCTCTGGCTTCTTACACAAGCCTCAGGGCCTTTGCACAGAACGCGGGACCCAGATCATGCTTTCCCTGAGTTGGCAGCCTATCAGAAACTTTTCTCTGCTGCCTGCATCTTCCTCTCCTGACGTTACTTCCTTTTCTCTGGGCGTGGGTATAGCATATCCAGCCTTACTAGGAGTATAACTTTGAGTAGTGCTACCTAGATGCTTACCTGGAGCCCGTGGCTACCGAGATGGAAGTAAGTCCTAAAGCCCTCTGATACCATGGGACCCTTGTTTAAGATGGCTGCCAAATGCCAACCCAGTATTTTTTTCATGCTAACTCCACCCAGCCTATCTTGCCTATTGATGGTGCCGGGGCTACAAAATAAGTGTGGGGGTGAGAGAGAAAGGACAATATTGTCCCTGGGCCCCTACTAGGCCATAAGTTTCTGGAGACAGGGAATTTGTCTTCTCATCTGAGTGTCCTCAGTACAGAAGACAGAGACGGGCTAGAGAGGGCTCTCGACGTTTGTCAATGGAGTGAGAGACGGTGATGTGGGTGCTTTTCTTGTTCCCGTGAATAAAAATGACAGCAAGGGTAGCTTGCTCACTTGGCCCTCAGGTAGGAGGTCTGCCTGGCACTGGCTGTGGATCCTGCGAAGGCCTCAGAGACCTATGGGTGTGGCACATGGCAACCCTTCTCTTTTTACCCCATCTCCCCAGCGTTGCCGAGCCACTCAGGAAGGTGAGGTTTTCCTGCAGAGCCCAGGCACCTTGCTACATTGCGTGAGCTATAGAACTGTAGAATGTCAACTCCGAGCTCCCCGTCAAGGCCCCACAGTGCCATGGGAGGCCCTGGGAAGATAGAGTGTGGTACCTAGCAAGGAGGAGCCCTCTTCCTTTTTCCCTCCTGGAGAGAGGTCATCTATTGTAGCAGAGATTCTGCAGTTGTGTCTCTAGGCCTGGAATGAAAATGGTGGAGGGTCTAGTCTGTGCTGAAGGTGGATTTTTCTCTTATTGTAACAAAGACAAAAGCAAACAAAGGTAAGACAAAATTCCGACAAGATGCTGAAATTCTGCAGACTCTCAAGAGATACTGTGTCCTGCAGTTGTGGAGAGGTGCTCAGGATTTGAACTCGTGTCCTTGGGTAAGGAAGCACAACCGGGCCCATTTCTGAAGCCTACCTCGTATCTCAGGGGTCTTAAAGAAACAGGCCAGTGTGTTTCCCTGGCTCCTGAGAGGACTGGCCAGTAGGAGAAGAAAGAAGTTAGAAGAGGCTCCCCTGAGGCCACCTTTGGATTCAGGGGAGGGGATGGGGTGGGACGGGGCTGCCATTACTTTTGCTACTGACCCAACCCAAAGGCTTTCTCTGCTAATCCATATATATTGACTTGTCTGAAAATGCTGTCCACCCCAAGGGTGAAGGTCAGGGATGGTGGGGTGTAAGCTGCCCATTGGAGCTATTGTAACTTCCTTCTTTAATACAAAAGCTGCTTTCCTCTGCCAGGGTTGGGTGTTTTGGTCTTAGGGCTTGACCCCAGAGCCTGGTGCATGCTGGGAAGATGCTCTACCACTCAGCTACATCCCCAGCCCTGTTTCTTTGCTGTGTCCCAGGCTGGCCCTGAACTTATCATGTAGTCCAGTTGGGTCTTGAACTGGAGATCCTACGGCCTCAGGCCCCTCAGTGCAGGAATTACAGGTTTGTATTATTACACCGGGAGTTAGGTATAAGTGACTGATGGTGGCTCTGGATGACGATCTGCAGCCCATTCTTCTGTGACTCTGTTTCTAGCCATGGAAGTTGAGACCACAAGATAACGTGTAATTTGCTTAAACCCTCATAGAAATTAGTGGTCGGACTGAGGGCTTTCCCCTCAGAGCCCCCGATAAAACCTTAGCTCATCATCATAGTATTCTGTGCCAGCCTGCCCTACTGAGGTGAGAACTTCCCTTTTCTCTGTCAGCTTCCCAGCCCACTGGCTGGTACGATGATGCACACTGGGGACTTTTGAGGAGAGAAGGCGAGAACATTGGTGACGGAGTTCAGTCCGAGATTCTTCACTGTGAACAGCCCTGAGTGAGGCCCAGTGCCCCTACCTCATCCTCTGCACTCAGCAGCATCCCAAAGACTTAGACTTGACCTTCCTTTTCTAGGAGCGCTCAGCCTGCTGGGTCCTAGAGCAATGCCTGCTTGCTCTGCACAGTTAGTGGCCCTTCTTGATGTGGGAGGGGCAGTGTGGGGGATCAGTTCTGAGTGTGAGCTGTGACTATGTAAGCCTGGGTTCCCCTGTCAGCTCTTTTCCAGCTATGTGAACCTGAGCAACTCCTCTGGCTTCAGTTTCCTTATCTATGAAATGGACCTGCCAATCATAACTCCCTCCAATGGTCATTGTGGAGACGGGACCAAGGCATGCATGCAGTTTGGTGTGGTGCTGGGCCCTCATTCGTTCTAGCTATCACCATCATGAAATGTTTGGTCCCTGCCCTCTGTGAAGATGCTTTCCTCACCTGTGAACCGAAGGGGGAAGATATGTACACCTTGGTGGTCTGTTATGACAACCAAAATAGAGGATGTGTATGAAAACGCTTTGTAAACTTGTTAAGGTTTGAGTGTGAAGTGTGGCTGCCTCCAGGATCGCTCAGTGGGTAAGAGGTGGCGCCTTCCTGGAACAGCACCTCCCCCAAGACACACGTGCCTTCACGCCACTCCTATACCCACATGTGAACAGACGCAGGTGTACACATACATGTGCATGTGCACATGCCCACAGGCAAGCTTACCCAGAAACACATGCCCCTGTTAACGTATGTGCACACATGCACACAGACACCACCAACACGAGCACCTGGGTCAGGAAACAGTTCAGTGGTTTAACCCCGACTAGTGCCCTCGGAAAGTCCCACTGTCCTTGGCTCAATAGCCTGTTCCCGAGCCCTCCTGGCTACCTGGGCAAGCAGGGGTGGGACAGAAAAATAGGAACGAGACTTGAACTTGGTCTTAAGAAGCCTAACAGGGAGAGGGGTAAAATGGAAGCTATTCTAAACAGGTGGGGGACACTGAAAATGATAGGAACGTGCAACTGGGAAGAGGGGATGTTTGGGGAAGTTCCTGGAAGGGTTGGCGTCGAGCTGGTCTTTGAAAGGCAGGCAGTGTCTTGCTCAGGCACTATAGCAAAATACCACAGGCTTAATTTTAGGTCTCCAACAATAAAGGTTTCATAGTTCTGCTGGCATTAAATCCAAGATCAAGGTGTCAGTTGTGACGTCTGCTTTGACGGCCTCTGTTCTTGGCTGTGTGTTCATGTCTCTGCACATGTTATCTGAGGCCACATTTCCTTTTCTTTTTAAAAATTCTCATTTGTTTAGTAAAAATTTGTATGTGGTATATTTTGTGTCACGTGTTTGAGGGTGCCTGAAAAGTCAAGAAGAGGCCATTGGATTCCTTGGAACTGGAGTCATAGGTGGCTGAGGACCACCGCACAGGAATGCTTGATACTGAACTTGGGCAGGATGCACTCTTGACTTCTCGTCTGTGAGGACACTAGGCTCTCATTGTGTCAGGACCCTGCACGTGAACCCATTTTGCCTTTGTGACTTCCTCAACGGTCTGGCCTCCAAAGGCAGCCACAGTTAGTTAGGACTTCAACACATACATGTGGGGAGAAGGGCCTCACAGTCTGGCCCATCAGGGCAGGATGTTTTCATCTGACGTTTGTTTAATGGCAAAGAGTTATTGTAGGATGTTAAAAGGTGAGCAGAAACCACACAGCGGTGACCATTTCTGTCCAGTCTCAGTCTATCTTTAAGATGAGTTTGTACTTTGAGTACCTGTTGGCCGTTGGCCTGTGGCCTGACATTTTCATTTAACAAATGTGTGTGGAGCTCCCCTCCCTCTGCATTCTTCTACAGCATCATTTTTAATGGCTGTACCACAGTAGTTCATTATGAGGCTGTATTTAACCAGTAGATGGGGGCCTTTTTTTGCTTTATTTTTACTATTTTTTTAAAGATGCTGGTATTTTGATCGACCGAGATGGGAAATGTGGTTAGCAGAGTATGAGAGGGAAGGATACAATTTCAGGGGTACCATTGTGGTTACATGTTATCTTAGTTACTTTTCTGTTGTGGTGTACATCTTTAATCCCAGCACTCGGATGGCAGAGACAGGTGGATCTCTGTGAGTCCGAGACCAGCCTGATCTTCAGAGCGAGTTCCAGGACAGTCTCCAAAGCTACAGAGGAACCCTGTCTCAAGGGGAAAAAAAAGAGCATTTAATATGGGATTCACAGTTCCAGAGGGTAGAGGAGACCATGATCACCATGGAGGGAAGCATGGCAGCAGGTAGGCAGGCATGTTGCTAGAGCAGAAGCTGAGAACTTATATGTTGAAATAACAACCTTAAAGCAGAGAGAGAAAGAGAGAGAGAAAGAAAGAGAGAGAGAGAGAAAGAGAGAGAGAGAGAGAGAGAGAGAGAGAGAGAGAGAGAGAGCGCACAGAAGCTAACTGGGAATGGCATGGGATTTTGAAGCTTCAAAGCCCACCCCCAGTGACACACCTCTACCAAGACCACACCTCCTAGTCCTTCCCAAACAGTTCCATCAACTGTGGACCAAACATTCCAAGTATAGGAACCTATTGGAACCATTGCCATTCAAACTACCACACATGCCAGTAAATGGGGACCAATGAACTGAGTTCTCAGAACCAGGGAGACCACACTTATAAGTACATGAGTTAGGGGAGGGTGAAGGGAAGTAGACTGTGGCAGCTCCTCTTTCTGAGAAGTCCTGAGGTGCCCCAAGAATCAGTCACCTTCATACTTTATGTCTGACTAATTAGAATCTCAACTAGACCTTATAAAGCCTCTAACATTCCTAACGTGACCCTGGAGAGTGAAGCTGACCTTGATGCTTCAACAGTAATGCTGTTGCTGCTGCTGCTGCCAGCACTGGCGGTGTGTGTGTGTGTGTGTGTGTGTGTGTGAAGGCCAGGGGTCACACTGGGTGCCAGACTTCAGGTGCTTCGGTTCACCTTGTTTTTGAGACAGTCTCTCTCACTGGATCTGGAACTCACCCATAATGCTAGGCTGCCTGGCTAGTGAGCTCCAGTGATCCGGGCAAGTGCACACCATGGTGTCTGACTTTTTTATATGTGTTCTGGGGATCAAGCTCAGACACTTGTGCTTGCCTGGCTAGTGCTTTTCCAACCGAGGCATCCCCCACCCTCGGCCCACCCTCATACTAGATGCTTTCTGTGGTCCGTCCTTGCTGCTCTTCCATCTTGTGCTGCCTGTTCATCCACTCACCCTGGGTGGATGGGAGCCTTTGGCAAACACAGTGAAAGAGATGGGGCACGCCATGGTGGTTAATACAGGGCACATTCACAGCAGACATTCACAGCAGCTAGTGTCAGTGTCATAGGATGTAGAGTCATGGACAAGATAAGCCTCTGGGCCCATCTGGATTAGGTTAACAGAGGTGGGAAGATCCACTAGAAATGTGTGGACCATTCCATGGCCTGGGAGGCTGTCTGAATAGAAAGTGAATGCAAGCTGAGAATGAGCAACCATCTCTCTTTGTTTCCTGAATTCAGATGCAAGGCAACCAGGCTCCTGTTGCCTGCCATGCCTTCCCCGCCACAAGAACAGGTAGGGCACCCTGGACACATAAGCTGAAATAAATGCTCACTTCCTTACGTGCCAGTTATCAGGTATGGTGTCATAGCAACTGGAGAGGGACAGGGACTTTATTAGTGATCAATTTTCTTGTTGGAAGGGCCCCGCTGAGATGTTCCAGCTGAGCTGAGCCAGGAGCGCTTTGTGGAGAGTGAGGAGGCAGAGGCAGGGTGGGGACAAATGAGAATATTTGTTCTCCATCAGCAGAGGGCGATGCAGCAGATGGTTTGGTAGGGAAAATGAGCTCAACTTTGTTCAGTAGTGGAGACTTTTGAGTTGTGTTCATAACGCTTGTGGAACCTCAGGCTTCTCCTGTGCCATTGTGCAAAGTAGAAGATGCTAACAACTCGTGATACGATAGGAAAAGAACTGTGGGGTGGGCAAGATGGCTCGGTGGGGGAAAGTGCTTGTCCTGCAAGCCTGGAGACCTGAGCGCGGTCCCCTGCGACTCATGGAAAGGTGGAAAGAAAATGGCCCTGATTTCCACATTCATCCCACGGCATGGGCACACCCACACTCACACATGTGCACATGTGCATGCATGCACAATAATAACTAAAACATGTAAGAGGAAGTATAGAGGGCTGGAGAGATGGCTCAGCAGTTAAGAGCATTGCCTGCTCTTCCAAAGGTCCTGAGTTCAATTCCCAGCAACCACATGGTGGCTCACAACCATCTGTAATGAAGCCTGGTGTCCTCTTCTGGCCTGCAGACAGAATACTGTATACATAATAAACAAATAAATAAATATTTAAAAAAAGAGGAAGTATAGAGAAGTTACAATGTCATTTCTAAAACAGCCCCTTCTTAAGGGAGAATGTGAGTCAGAATTATAGATACGTCAAGGGGTTCTTTTTAGGGATCCCGGCCACTATTTCAAAAGTTATAGGAGTCTCACAACCCTTTATTTTTTTTTAAGCCAGGCTTAGTAGTACATGTCTTTAATAGTAGCACTCAGGAGACAGAGGCAGGTAGATCTCTGTGAGTTGGAGGCCAACCTGGTCTACCTAATAAGGTCTAGAGCAGCCAAGGCTATATGGAGAGACCCTGTCTCAAAAAACAAAAGCAGAATAAAAACATTTAAGCACATCTATCTATCTATCTATCTATCTATCTATCTATCTATCTATCTATCATCTATCTATCTATCTATCATCTATCTATCATCTATCTATCTATCTATCTATCTATCTATCTATCTATCTATCTATCTATCAATCATCTACCATCTACCTATTGTGTGTGTGTGTTGTGTCTGTGTGTTTGTGCATCTATTCTTAGGTTTGGTCTTTTCATGGTGTCCTGAATTTCTTGGCTGGTTTATGTCAGGAATCTTTTGTATGTGTATGTGTGTGTGCGTAGTTGCCATAGTGTGCCATGTGGAGGTCAGAGGACAACAAGCTTTGGGTATCAGTTCTCTCTTTCTCCCGGATTGTCCTGAGAGCTGGAATTCAGGTCCTCAGGCTTGCCCGTGATCGCCTTTATACAATGAGCTATCTTTCTGGCCCATCACTATACTTTTTTTGAACAAATGCATCAAAGGGAGGACAGATTTATTTTAACCAGGACTCGTTGGGAACATCGATGAATATTTACGAATCTACATATGGCCCAGAAGACCAAGATACATATGCTTCTTTACTTCTTTTTTTCCCCCTGTGGAGTGGCTCTTGTCCCCCAGCTGCGGGGAGAGGGAGAGGTCACCCTCTGTAGTCCCTTCTGTGATGCTTCAGTTGATGATGGGTTGTGCTGGGGAGGCAATTTCATCAGCTGCCATTGTAAGGAAAATAGCAAACCTGCCAAGTACAGTTTACTGGCAGAAGCAGAAGAGGAGGAAGAGGAGGTGACTTATTAACTGTGCAACAAGGGCCGTGTCGTGATTTTTGTTTGGCAATGCTATCCTTTGGCTTTCCCGTGATTGCCGAACTGTGATGCTTCCTTCTGGCAAGGGCTTTTACTGGGCCCCCCCCTCCTGCCGTGGGTATGCAAAGGGTTATGTAAATGACTGCCATTTTCAGAAGCTACCAGCCGCCCCCACCCCAGCTTTGGTGAGGATATTGGAAAAGTTAACTCAGGAGAGATGCAATTCAAGCCTTTAGCCAAGCCAAGGCACGATGATCCAATTATGATCACTTGCAGTACACAATTTACTGCACCATGGTTTGAAATCGGCAGCTTTCTCCTGCGTTTCAAAGCAATTGTTTTCCTTGGGATTGTACTGCGTGCTCACCTCTGTAGGAAGCCACTTTGGTCAGGCTAACGCACGCACACCTCCTCAGTCTATGTGAATGCATGCCACCCACGAAAGCAAAAGCAGGGAATGCTGCCCCAAATCAGAACCTGCACTCTGGGAGCCACTCAGATTAGAGAGCTCCTGGCTCTCTAATCAGTCCTCGCAAAAGGTGGTTGACAGGGAAACCCAGATAGCCAGAGCTCCCAGTGACACATATGGGGAGGGAACAGGATGGTGACACACCAAGACTCAGTGTTGGCGAGGTACCCAGGGTGAAGGTAGCTAGTTGCCAGGACATTCCTGCAGCTTTTAATTATGAAAGCTGCTCCCACTGAATACTTAGAAAAATGGAGAGAGATCAGTTCCACTCAACAGCAAAAGATATTGTCAAGTGATGGAGAGTGAGAATTGGGTGGGGGTGGTATGAATGGGAATGGCCCCCACAGGCTCATAGATTTGAATCCTTGTTTGCCAGCGAGTGGCACTATTTGAAAGGCTCAGGAAGGAGGTGTGACCTTATTGAAGGAATTGTGTCCCTGAGGGTAGGCTCTGTGGTTTCAAAAAGCCTATTCCAAGCCCAGTGTCTTTCTCTCTCCCCTTCCTGCTGCCTGTGGATCTGGATGTAGACTGCTCAGTTACTTCTCCAGCACCGTGCCCGTGTGCCATCACGCTCCCCACCATGATGGTAATGTGTAGTAGGAAG